CTTACTGATATTTTGTGGGATTGCATATTTCTGTTCAGAATCCCATGCCGGCCACTAAAACTGCTGACAAATGTTTTCTAGGTTGAAGCTGATCTGGGTTATCCAGGTGGAAAAGCAAAAGTCATTCACAAGGAGTCAGATATGATCATGGCGTTTTCCGTTAATAAGGTAATAAGAGCTGCAGTCATTATAAAGAGTATTCTCGTGGGTGAGACTGGTCGAATGGTTGACTCTGCTTTTGCTTTACAGGCAAACTCTAATGAAATTGTCTTGGCTTCCACACATGATGTTCAAGAACTTGACGTCACTTCTCTGTTAGCCTGTCAGCCATATATCTGGATTGGAGAAGAATATGACAGGGAATCTAAAAGGTTTGTTTTTCTTATGAAGTCATTTTAAAATGTAGTCTTGTCAAAAACGAACCAACTACTTTAATGCACACGCTTTGGGTTATCTTGAAAAATACACATGGGTCACTTTGCCTTCATTTGGGTCGGAGACAAGTATGATTGACGTAGCTACCAGTGACCAGCTCTGTCTGCGCTCATGGACAGCTCGCCCCCACTTCTTCCACCAAGCCCTGAGCTCTGTTTGCATCAGAAGAACCCCTGACACCAGCTAATGCTAATGACAACCACATTGACTCAAAGAAATGCTGGGAGTTGTACTCAGTAAATTCAGCTCATCTGGATAATTACAGCAAAAATTGGTGTATATATGTAGATTACCCTGACTGGTGAGTCACATTTACCGAGTTTCTCCATAGCACATTGCCACCTCTAAAGCATGCCCTTTCTTACAGATAAAAATGTCTGCTTCTCACTAACGCTGGGCACATGGCACCAGGGGTGATTTTCAGTACTTGCATACGTGGGGGTTCCACCTCCATGCTTGCCCACCCTCGTGCTTCCCTGCAGAGTCTTAGAAATGCTAGGTGCCTGGCAGTGGTGCCATGGCACCCACCGAGAAGGTTGAATTCCCTCTTTTGTTTGCATCTAACAGGCAGGCTTCAAAATCACACTTCAGAGTAGATGTAACTATCTAACATCATAAAAAGGACTCTTAGATTTTTATGGGATGGCAAAGACATACAAACTTGGATTTTGATAAAATGTAATGATTTGATGCACAGTGATGTTTGCACTTGAAGGAAGCATATGATCTTTTCCTATCTATGTATGATCAAAAGAAAATCCATGTTAAGTGCCTCCAAAATGTTTTTAAAAGCATGTGTCCCAACTGTGCATCAATGAAGTTGTTCCCGAACATCATTGGTCTGAATTTATAGTTTTGTCTAGATGGGAAAAGCTATGCGCCTAGAGAGCAGCATTAAAAAAAAAAAAATTCTGTGTCTAAGTTTTACTCGTGGCTGTGTGTTCAGTGTTTTGGATAAAGACTGTCCTACGGGCAGTCTGGTGAGAAGCCTTGTCATTGGAGTTTGTGTGAAGAGACAGGTGGAACGTTCACAGTAACACTCGGTTTTCCCACAGTTCCGATGACATTGACTACCGCGGCTCCACGACAACTCTTTACCAGCCCGGTGCGGCAGCCCACCCAGCCACTCAGGTGCATCCGCCTTCGTCTCTGCCGTGGCTGGGCAGTGGGCAGACCAGCACGGGAGCTAGCGTGGTATGTCATTGCTATTAGGCATGCTGCCTGGGTGTGGACTCCCTCAAAGCAAATTCACTCTGACTTAGGAATGATCCCGCAGGTCAGGGGCAGTGACAGACAGTGGGCGCTTCATACCATGTTAGTCTGAGTTGCTGACGCCCTCTCAGTGCCACCCTCAATGGCAGGTGCTGCTCTGATTTCCCGTATTCTGTAGGTAAGCAAACAAGCACAGGCTGGTAAAGCAGAGGCCAAGAGGAAGTCGGGTTTACTCTGGGTCTGACAGGCACACCGAGCACCTTCTTGGTAGTTGCTGCAGTAGTTGAAGGAGGCCCCTCTTCATGTTCAACTCTGGAGGGTCCGGGGGTCTTCCTGCTAGACCTCAGGGAGGGGTGCCTGGAGCAGAGCCCCCTCTATCTGTGGACAGAGCGCTTGGAAACCTCAGTTCACACAGACCTCAGTTCCTCCTCAGCCTGGGACATGTGTTCCGTGTCCAGTGGCTCTGAAAATCCGCAACAGGGCTTATTGCAGTAAGAATCAAGTGGTAAGGGAATAAGCAATGAAGAGTTGCCCTGAAGCCTAGCCTTCCTCATCCCTCTTCCTTATCTTCTTTTAAAGCTGATGAAAAGGAATCTACATAACGTGAAGAGAATGACCTCCCACCCCGTCCATCAATACTGTAAGTGTTTAATCGATGATCCACAGTGGTAAGCCGCCTCCTTTCCTCTATGATTCAAGGCACAGGAAATAGTGAGCGTCTCTCGCATTCTGATTTCTCATCTACTCCTGGTTCTCTTGCCCTTCAGACCTTACGGGAGCTCAGGATGGCAGTGTACGCATGTTTGAATGGACGCGGCCGCAGCAGCTGGTATGCTTTCGCCAAGCGGGCAATGCCAGAGTGACCAGGTTATACTTTAACTCACAGGGCAACAAGGTTAGTTCTTGCGGGTTACTGCTAAATGCATATGAAAATGACATTTATGAGTAAATGGTTCATGAAACCGTCTGAAGTCAAATCCGGCGAACCAGGATTTGAACCGATCAGGCATCTTTTGCTCAGTAGAATTATAAATCCACAAAGTTGATGCGGATTAGTGAACCATCCACTAGCGCTGTTGGAATACTGCGTGTGTAAAGAGCACACTGTGCAGTGTGGCACGGTGCCCCTAAGTAGAGTTAGCAATTGAGAGAAACCGTCTGTTTCTTACTCAATTCTCTTGTACTGCAGGGGGCTCCCAAAAGTTCATAAAAGCTCCCTTCCGTTTGTCTAAGGACTTTTTGAAGCTCCTTCAGGTTAAAGGAAAACAGTGAAATGGGTATGTAGAAGCAGTTAAGAGGTTACAGGGAGTTTATTGCACTTGACCTACCTCGGTCTGTAGGGCGAGAATGAAGCTCTAGTGGGAATGCTCGTTCAGATGGGTCTGAGAGACTTGTCTTTGCATACATATATTTCAGTGGCAATACTAACGAGCTGTGTTTCATATTTGCACCATTCTTCCAGTGCGGGGTTGCAGACGGAGAAGGTTATATGAGTATCTGGCAAGTAAACCAAACTGCATCAAACCCTAAACCGTACATGGTAAGTGTCCCCCATACTCCTGGGCACCCACCATGAGCCTCCCTGGTGGTCCTGCTGGGAAAGGGACGGTTCTGCCTGGCCACTGCCTGGAAGCATGGCACCCACCCTGCCCCGTGGTGACCCTGCTTTTTATGGTTTGCCCAGTGACAATTATGTGTGGGAATTTCCTAAAGCTTTCATGTGTGTGGACTTACCTAGGATACATGTTTATTATACTTTCGTTCTTCTTGAAAACTCTACCTCCTCCCTAGACCTCTGTAGTGGCTTATTTCAGGCACCTGCGTTAGGAATCAGAGAGACTTCATCTAGTTCAGTGTGCTCAGCAGTGCTGCTTGCTGGGTTAGAAAACAGCCAGTCCAAATGGAGCACTGTGTTCATGAACCCAGATCCTGTCTGGTGACACACAGACGTGCTTCCGGACGGTGGTGGTGATGGGGAACAGGGGTGGCACTACCATGAACTAACTGAGCCTCTGGCTTCCTGTATTTCAGTCTCCGAGGAAGTCCTGACCCTGCGGGGTCTAGATTACTCAAATACAATATATATATATATGTGTGTGTGTGTGTGTGTATATGTATATGTGTATATATACGTATGTATGTATGTATGTATTTGTTGACTTTATAAAAAAGTTTGTGGGAAAGTTCCATTATCTTTAAATTGCATTTTCCTGTAAACCTTTTGAAGCCCCCTCGTACATGCTCTCAACTATGTAGGTGCACATGAGATGATGTGTTTCTCTTTATAGACTATATCATACAGCCTTTCGTAAAATGGAAGCTATCCTTTTACCTCAGTCAAGTCAATAGCATGCTAATTCCGGAAAGAAAACAAAAAGGCTGCCCCTTTCATTTTAAAGCACCCTGCCAGGCCTTGGCCTTCATGTTTCTATCATCCAGCTGACCCAGCAAGCGAAGTCCTGCGGGCTCAGTGAGCGGTTTCCCTGGGAGCGGGAACAGCCGCAGGCACTCCTGTGGCACCTGCGAGTAGAATGGAAGGGGCCCTGTCTATGACTGTTCTCACTCCTCCTTGCACCTGGGGACGGAAGGTTGTGTGTAGATCACACCCGCCGTGTCCTGACTTCAGCCCTTCTGGCTGCCTTTTCAGGTCAAATGAGGTGTCAGAGCTTTTCTCCCCGGGTGTCATTGCTTATTATGATTCATGTCATTATTTTAGGTTTATTAGATGTATTTGAGTGATATGGCTCTTAATAGAACTAAATGGCTTGAGTGAGTTCATGAAATTGGACTCCTTTTTTACATAATCTGAAAACATTCCTGCTGTAATTCCATGCTTTATGCCAGCTCTTTACATGAAAAAAGAGAACGAAATTGAATATTCGCCAAAAGATGTGCAAATGATGGCTGGCCCTCTTACTGTCACCAGCCCTCCCTCATTCGTCACTCATAAGACAGCATAGGCTGAGCAGGATCGCTGCCGTTTCGGGTCATTTCAGTTCATTTTGTCTTCCAGAGTTGGCAGTGCCACAGCAAGGCTGCGAGCGACTTTGCATTTATCACCTCTTCAAGTCTCGTTGCCACCTCTGGACAGTCCAATGACAATAGGTGGGTTGATAGGGAATTAAAATAGGAAATAAGAGAACTTTACGTGGACAGGTGTTTTTGACAGAAACCGTGGAGCTTATACTAAGGTCCCCTTACCCTCTAGGGATACATAAACATTATTTGGT